TTTTAAACACATTAATTATAATAAACTGTAAAATTCTTGGTTGTAAAATGAATTGGAATATTGTTCCATAATATTGAATCATTAACGTATGAACCTGAAATAGCATCCTGCGATATTTAACACGATCAAAGATGTTATCAGTAATGTAGTTACCGATATTATGCAGAGCAAAAAAACAAATAGATAGAGCAAAGCATAGATGACTAATGACATCATAATTTCTCGTAAACCTAACCCAACCCAAAGAACAATTATATAAAAAATCGTGTAGTACGGCAACTAATAAGAGATTCGAAGAAGAATACAAGAAACATAAGAAAGTTTTCAATAAAGTAATCAAGGATACCCAAATAAAAATAGAAATAAATAGTAGTGAAAAGAACAGTAAAATGTATGGAAATATATTAATGATAAATTGATAAATTAATTAGAAAAATTAGTATTTTTAATAAGTTCTTAGGCGAAGTGTCCATCAAGTTAGTAGTTCTATCCAGATGGATGTAAATTATCTTGTAATTGTATAGCTTGTAACTATCATCTGGCAATGAATTTAATTTAATCTTAAAATGTATTATTAGCTCGAGCTTATTCAATAACTTAAGTGTACAATTGTGTTTTCTAATTATGCTTTGATTAAGTCATACCAAAATCTATATGTTAATAAAATTTAAAAGATATACATTACAATTTCATACCGTAAAGTTCTGTAAATAGACATATCCATAGAAAATTTATTTTATATATATATATATTTATATATATTTATATATATATATATATTGCAACGATTACCGAAAATCGTAGACTCGCGCGAGGTTAGCAAGCGGCTAAGCGAGGTGAGCCGCGTTCGGTTCGCGAGAGAGAGAGAGCGCGTAAGGGGCAATGACCGGGAGGGGAGGCTCCGAGCGCTAGTATCACTGTGCCACTCAGTCAGTTCGTGCGCCTAACCTGTTTCCGAGCCGTTCGAGTTTTGTTTTGTTTGCTATTGACATTGCATTTTGCGTGGGTGAGTGCTAGCAGCAGCAGCAGCAGCAGTAGCAGCAGCAACAACTGCAGTAGCAGCGGCAACAACAGTAATAGCAGCAGTATCAGTAGCAGCAACAACAACAGCAGCAACAGAATTCGAGGTGGTACAGCAAGCAGCGGAGCAGTTTAATAACAACGTGTTATTCGGATACGGTTGGCCACCGTATCCACGCCGTCGTTGCGGTAGGTGCACCTTAATTCCCGTAATTAATCATTGTGTTAATTTTGGCGTGCGAATCCGCGCAGCGAGCGCGAAGAATTTGTTTTGCGTGCGAGCAGGTAGTTCGCGGCAATCGCGGTTTTTTCTCTCTCTCTCAAATAGCGTGTCTTGTCATTCACGCGTGCGTGCGTCAGACTCTCGGCTGATTCCCCGTGTAATTTAATTAGCTAAATAAAGAGCATCTTAATCGTTATATTCTAGTTAAACAGTCGTTATTTTGTCATTCCTTTGTCCGGAGGTCGCGCCAGTGTTTATTTTCAGGAGATTCGAATTCGCCGGTTGCGAAGCACGAATCGCGCAAGTATCGATAGACGCGAGTCGATAACCTAGGTTCCGGTGGCGGCCGCACGAGCGCTACGCGTACGAGCGACAGCGCCGCCAAGTGGCGAGTTGGGGGAACCCAGCTCGGAGAAGTTGAAGAATCTGCGCAGGCGCACTTCGGGGCAAGGTAGGTTACTGTGCTTTAAGCACATAGATAACAAGGCGTCGTTTAGTCGCATCTAAAGGTATATTTGCGTGATTTTAGACTAAACGGCAGCCTGTTACAATATATAGTAGAATAAACATATATATATGTAGAATAAAGTATAGTAGAATAAATACACATACACATATATGTTTATTCTTCTAGTTACATATTTTATTTTGAGTTGTACTTACAATTCTTCATTGTGTACAAGTTTCTTGTTGTCTTTCGCGTTTCCGAGTTTGAGTGTGAGTGTACTTATTTGTGTAAGTATGTGAAAGTGTCGTATCTGTGTTGTCTTGTGTATTTATTTATGCGCATTTCTGTACTATCTCTTTCCTTTCTTCCCAGTTCTTTTGCCCTTCGCCTCTCTTTTCATTGCTTACTAAATCTTCCTTTCTCCTTTTGCCCTCTCATTATTATTGTCTTTTTATTTTCCACTTGTACTTCTAACTTTAGTACGCTTATTTCATTCAATCTTCCTTATATTCTCAGCATTTCTCCTCTTATTTTTCTCTCTTCATACGTTACCCATTCATCCTTATAGCTATTCCTCTCACGTAGTAGCTCCTTTCCCTTTCTCATATTTGCTTTATGTTCCTTTTGTTTTCAAATTGCACTTAAAATTCTGTATTAATTTTCTTTTCTTTTTTTTTCTTCTTTCCTCACTCGTCATACTGACACTCTTCAATTTCTTCTCTTATCTCTCTTCTGTCTCTCTCCATTATTTCCCTCTTTACCTTGCATTATAATTCTTCGATTTCCATTTTTCGTTTGTTGCTTTCACCTTGTTGTATATACTTTCACTTCCTTGTTCTGATTATCCTACCGGTCGGTCTTTTCAAATTTTACTTTGTTTTCTATTCTATCTTGTTTTTCCTGCACTGCCCTTTATCGTTTCTTCTCCGAACCAACTTCTTGCCTTAGGGTATCTTGTCACTCTTATTCTTCTTTTTCTGTCCTTCTTCGCAGCCTACTTTTTTTCTTTTCTTTTAGTCTTCTTGATATGCCCCTATGTCTTTTTTAATTAGTTTCTTCTTCTTCTGTCTTGACATCGTTGTGCCGTTGTTTTATTGCTTTCACTTTTAATTTTAGCTCTCTTGCTTTTCTTCTTGCTAGATTGTGTTTTTCTTTAATGATTTCCTCTTTTTGCTCTTACGACTTGCATTTGATTATTTATATCTTCTTATTTTCCTTACACTCTCTTTCATTTTTCCTCTCTTTTTATTCATTTCTTTCTTCTGTTCTTCTTGCATATACTATCTCGCCTCTTATCCTTAGTTTTTCTTTCAGCCACTCTTCTACATCTTGTTTCCTCTTCCAGATCAGATCTTCCTTTATATCCGTAATAACGATGTTCAGTTTTGTGTTTTTTCTTTATAATTTTTCAAGCGTCTATTCCATGTGTTGATTTTTTCCTTGTGCTTTCTCGTTTTCTATCTCGCCTCTTATTTAAATATAAACTTCTTAAGACTTCCTGACAGCCGTGCGATCAACCAAAACTTTCATTATTATTATTTTATATTCAATGAAAACTGCTTATAGATATACGAGTACTTTAAGCTAAGTAGATCACTGTTAACACTTGATATAACCTTACAAATAAATGACTTTATCTTTTTGTGGTTAATGAAGCTGAATGAAACGAAAAAGAAGCTAAATGAAATTCTGTATTCATAGGTGTACCTTCTATTTGAAACTTCAAATGTCAAAAGTTCTATGGATATGCCTATATTCTACTCTTATTTTAAATATGACATATGCATGCCTAGTAATATAATTTTTACAACGCTGATCTATACATGTATAGTTAAATTAAATTTTTCATTTCAAGAAATTCATTTAATTTAACATTTACATGTATAAATGTTGTTGTAATGATATTACTACCTGACTTTCCGCCCTTTCCTCTACGACGCCTCTTCCTTGGTCTTTCTGCATCAACTCCATCTGTATATATAAAAAATAAAATTGGCACTCAATATTAATTATTACAAGAATATGAAAATATGTAATTCGCAGCTTTTTTCAAAGAGATATAGTATTAGAGTATTGTAATAATTATAAATTTCATTGAAATTAAAAAAATATTATGAAAAAAATTATTATGTGATAAAGCTATGATTATAGTGTATATTAGTAACGTACATTTTTACGATTTAAAATAAAATCTTTTTCAATATTCTGTAACGGTCCGCTAAATAATCAAATTATTTTAGTAGCCCGTTAGAGATTTTAATTCAACTGGTCGGTGCGGGGCTTACCGCCGCCCCGGTCAGCTGGCCGCTCGCTGGCGTTCCGCCGAATACGGGCGGGCACGCGCTGCCCTGAAAAGGGATCGCGAAAGCACGGCTAATGCACGAGAGCGTGCGTGAGTCTCAATCACGGGCGTAGGAAGGGACAGAGGTGCCTCCCTGGGTACACTCAACACAACGTCAACACATGAACGGGTTAAACCAGGCTTTATTTACGTGAACTTTCTATACAAATTCGCACGCCGAGATTTCGCTTCGCGTATTAATCCGGAGGGAGAGAGAGGCGCTCGCTCGCGTAACTAAACGCACGCAAATTCGGCACTTATTAACAGAGAGGAACTCACCGCGAAGTAGCTGCTGCAGCCAGACTACTTCTTATTCGTCACTCGCGTCGTCGCCCTTGCTCGGGCGGGCAAAGTCTGCCCCTGGTGATTGCCCGCTTTAGACGACTGTCCACAGCCTGCGACGACCTTTGGGGATCGGCCTTCTTTTCTCGCGCACTCGCACTTTTCTTCTACACTCGGACACTTTCCTTCTTTTCTCTTCACACCTTTTTCTTTTTGGTTCGCGGGAGCACGTGGCGGTCAATCTCGCTTGCCGGTCTTAGTCGAAGTGTCGTCAAATCGTTTTTTTTCCCCCCACTCTCCCGCTACGGCACGCGCCTGCTCTAGTCTCGCTATCTCTCTCTCTTTCGCTCCTCGCTCGCTTGTCCCCTTGGTCGCGCTCGGACTCGTGCGCGACCGATCCTCCGCGAAAACGGCCCCGGCCGTTATAATTCACAACATCGTTTTACATATTGTTGAGATATTATTCTTTCATAATTTTAAATAATAAAAAACATTGATACTATACATTACTATCGTTTCGATAGTACAAGGTTTATCTTTGTGAAAATGTCAGTGTGTAGATAAATATGGAAAATAAACAAAAATATATAAGAATAATTTATACCGTTTAGTATACGTGCAGGTTGAGGTCTTCTGTCCACTAGTATATCATCATCGAAAGCCTATATAGATATATAGTTTTATAAAAGTTAATGTGTATCATATGAATTGAAGAGGCATATACTAATATAATCAACATGCATATTATTATAAATTAAGTGAGAAAATGTGATACAAAAACTCATAGAATTCGGCAGCGAGAATTGTTGCGCTGAATAAGCTAGATAAAGTATGTTTTGGCGTTGGTGTATACTGTAATCAAACTTGAACAAGTCATTACGTGTATATAGCGCTTTTTATGTTGACAAAGGCTGTGATTTCTCCATCATCCGTAGTGTTTCAATGGTTTTTATGTTGTAGAACATGTGTAAAGCTTGTTTTCATAAAAAACATGTGATATTTATATTAATAAGATTATATGTAAATATTTATTTATGTCCTTTATATATGTGTTGCTTAAATGGCTAACTCACATCTGATTCAATTCACTTACTTGATGATGATTTAAATCGTTAATAGGGAGACGTATCGGTTCATCTACGTGTTCAGGTGCCTCATTCAGCCCCTGCCTCACGTTAACATCAGCTATTAGCTGTAATTAAAATATTTAAATTTATTTCGTAATAATACAATTCACGATTTGAATTATATTTAACATAAATTTATCGAATCGTGTAATTTAATAATTTAGTTACTTGATCGTCATTTACATCTTCAACAGGAAGGAGTTCCGGTTCGTCTATTTGACCTTGTCCGAGTGCCTCATTCAGCCCCTGTCCAACGTTAACATCAGCTATTGGCTGTAATTAAAATATTTAAATTTATTTCGTAATAATAAGATTCTTGAACAAAACTATATTTATGATGGATTTCAGACAGTGTGTGTGTATGTGGTATTTTCCTCGCACGACCAAGCGTGACTTGAGTCAGCCTTCACTCAATCATGATAACCTTACAAATTCACTCACTTCCCTTATTTGAGTTGGGCAAATACGCTCTCTCGCGCCATGTAAAGTCTAGTAATATAAGTATTTTATTTGTCATTTGTTGGCGTTGTTTAATAGATTCCTCCTTTTTGTAATTGCGAACCGCGATTTTCCTTATTATAACTCTCCTAGCTATAGCGAGTTGTTTTCTCCGTGGAAGTCAATGCCATCTTTCTTGATCGGAGCTGAACCCTTATAATATATCAACAGAAGATGGTCCTGACGCGCAGTGGCCAAACCCTTTTGCAGATTTATCAAATAATGTTATTTAATAAGTAACTTACCAGATCATGATTTTCATTAACAGCACGAACAAGATGTGGTCTTCCTCTCCGACGTGGAATATGTGCCATTGGTTCAGGGTTTTCTATTGCTCCATCAGCTTGCTGTAATTTATATTTTTATCCAATCGTATAGTAATTTTCATCCAATGGTATAGTAATTTTCATCCAATCGTATAATATACATAGTATTACTTCAACTGCACCCAACATTAGTATATTTACATTTTCATTCATGATTGCAGCCCGGTTTCTAGGACGAGGTGCTGCGATCCGTCTTCCGCGTCGTACTCGTTCCCTCGGTGGTACTTCCGGTACAGGACCTGGCATCAGATTATGATCTCTCCCGAGATTGTTTCTTCGCCTCCTTCGACGTATATAGGCATTTTCAAATTCACCACCTACAGTGAAATTAAAATGAGATTCACATAAGAATGCTCAAATTATTTTGTTAGAAATGTATATTTTATCAAGGGAAATAGTACTGTACCTGCACCAGGGTTGTGCTGAAGGATACGTATTAAATCTGGTACGTCATCCATATCTACCAGGCTAATGATATTATTAATCGTATTACGTTCCTGGTTCTGCATAATGACTAATAATTTATTCAATTAAAAGATTTTACATTTACAATCACGGTCTGTATGTATTAACCGTTATAAGTAGTCCTACTTTCTATCATATGCCCTATTAGTTCTAACTTTGAATTTAGCTTACTTCTAGCAAAGTGTGGTCTTCTAGTCGCAGCTACTGTCAATAAAAATTCCTGAACATCATATCTATAAAAGGAATTATAACCAACCTCATGAAAAGCATATTTGTTACAACAGACTTAACTGTTTATTTCGTACGTGAAGATATTGTTCAGTTTAATTACTTATTTTATCTTAAATTACTATTTGAAGCGATATAACAATATTATATACATAATTTAGTGTGTGTGTGTAAAAGTATTGTAAAAAAAACCTATAATCTATAATAAACTTCTATATTCAACCCTCATCGGTCACCGTGGGTAAATTTCACCCAAACAAAATTATTAACTCCTCAGAAAATACCTTAGTGTTTGAAAATACCCTTAAGGCGCCATCTACTGTTAGTCTGAGGTACCCTCTATACCTTTATACAGTTAGCGTGGCTTAGGACTCTTCTCTGTGCGTCTGGCATTTGTCCAGAGTTAACCCTCAAAAATCGTTGGGTGAAATTCACCCAGTGTAACTACATTTTTCGTGCATTCAATCTTTAAAATAATTATACTTTTTAAAAGAATCAATATTATATTATTTTTTAATGAAATTATTATGTTTTAGGAGTAGATTCCTATTGGTTTTTTTGCTTTATATGAATTGTGTAAAAAGATATAAATTTTTTAATTAGAAAAATGACTTTTTTGTTATGTTAAATAAAAACAATTTTTTAATGTATAAAAAATTAATTTTGATTAATGATACTCATAAAACATCTTTTATAATCCTTAAAAAACGCATACAAATTATTTTTAGATAAAAAAAACTCATTAGCGAAGCAAAATGTTACTTTTTCGACGGTGAATCTCACCCAGTGTGACCGTTATGCGATTCTACTGAAGTGTGACCGACGAGGGTTAAAAGGAAAAACGTCAAGGAGATGTCGAATATACATTTTGTAAGGTTAATGTATTATTAATTGTCAATAAAATATGAATCAGTATTGATTAATAATTTGTACATAAATTTATCTGACCTCCCCAATTCAAGATTCTGTTCAGCACGGCGAATAGCAAAATCAGACTGAATTAATTCCAGTGGTCTTTTTGGTTTGACATTCAATCCTCTCATCGCATTTCTTATATCCTTTCCAACACTTGCTGTATACGCTTTAAGTTTTTCTATAAATGTATTTATCTAATTAGTTAATTGCTATAAAATTTATTGACCTTTTAGTAATGCAATTGTAATTGTAGCTTAAATAATCGATACCAAAGAAATTTTTTCAAAGAAAGGTATTTGGCATATCACACATGTTATAGCTAAGAATTTACTTATAATATATCAAAGTTATATGAACATTTTTTATACTATCATTGTACTGTAACGAGCATAATCGAATTTGCTGATGGATGAAGATCGTCGCACAATAAAGCAGTATCGACTGACGCACATATTAATAATAGTGATGACGATTACCTCACCCGCACGAGCATACACATTATTACCAGTTACAGGACTAGAAAAGCAATCATTAGATATATTATATTTCAGTTATTGTTCTACCAATAAACTTACTGATCATTTTCCAAATATTAGGATGTTTTCCGAATATTTTTTGAGCGTGCATGTTTATATTTTCGGAAATATTATTTGTTTTTATTGGTTGATTGTAAACAGATATTACATTTGCTAATGGTACCCAGGTAGTCCTAGAAATAATTTACAAATTAATGCGTTGACAACTGATTTTGAGATTCTATTGGAATGTTGCATGTTACAGTACTTTAGTGATTCACTTAAAAATCACAGATGGTTTTCGTAATATTATTACTCGACTAATCACAGAATTTAAGGCAGCGATTAGAGAGATAAAAAAGAGTCAAAGTGTATACCATTACCGCAAATACGTTCCGAAAGATTGTAATTTTTCGCCTTGAATAGATCTTGGATTAACGGCTTGGTCAATTAAAGATACTATATGCCTGTATCCTTCGTCTATTTTATCTGACGGTAGGTGTATCAGAGCATATGCATTTTCCAAGATATAGTCGTACTGAACGTTTATATCAAAGTTATCCCATTTCTTTGCAAGATTCTAAAATATTGATAAAGTAATAGTTATAAAAATACTACGAGATATTTAACGTGTGAAATAAATGTCATTGATCAACTACAGTTCTTTTTATGACAAAAATTAACTACGATGTCTTATTTTAAGATATATATAAGTCATATGTATGTTTAGAGTCACGATTGAAAAATCAATTTTAAGCAGTCCACGACCGTATATAAATAGTGTTCCGAAATCGAAGACTATACGAGCTTATGATAGTGCATTAGCTTATGGAATAATTTGGCAGCTATTCCTATACATTTTTTTCGTATACTTACTTGCTTGTAATGGAATGAACAGCCTGTGATAGTCACATTTGGAAAGTGTGATATAAGACTATTGAGTTGACTTCGTTCGAAATCACAGATAACGGAACGGATATTATCTCTTAATTCTGGAATTATGTCAAATATTTTTCCCCACATTGCATCGTACATTCTTTCTGTTCTCGATGAACATAAACAAAATATAGATGCAAAACCCTATAAAAGTTATGGTAGTTTCATAAAATGAAAAAAAGTAAAAAACTCAGCTTTATAAAAAGTTAAGCGTTTTTACTTATATATAAAGAAATTGAACTTAACCCACTTAACAAGGAGAAACCTGAATGCATCATAAACGAAAAACATATACCATTGACGTGAAAAATATGATTTATTTCTAGAACTATATCAGTAACTATAATAAAAAAAAAGTTTTATCTAGTTCTAAAATGAATTGTAACGACAATAGATAATATTCAACATATAGCTTCAATTATCAAATAAAAAACCTCATTTGATACGACTGATAAATATATTCAATTATAATTCTTCAAACAGAAAAATTACAGATTAAAAAATTTCGATGAAACAAAAATCTATATTTATTTTTCTAAATCGTACGTGTTGAGATGCCATGCGTATGTGCTTGCGATCTCTTCTGTGAAGATGGACGTAAACTTACGTGAATGCTCAACACGACATTACTCTAATAGAGCTTTGTTTCGGTCCTGGACGGATCGATCTAATGAATATTTTGTTTTCTCTAACCTGTGCCTTATTTCTGTACCAAGCATCTGTGTCCAACAGTGTGATGATAGGTAACTATTATAAAAACTAATTCAAGAGATAATAGAAAAATAAATTCGATTAAAATCCTGTCAACAACAAGGTTAAACCTTGAATATATGTATCTATTGATAGTTCAGGTCTTGACGATTTGTTTGGGAATTGATGTTCATATAAATGCAAATAAGAAAAGAATTTCAAATTAATAATGCAGATTACATATCCATCAGTAGAAATTCATAACCTGAAAAGATAAACACTTCAGAGAAAATAAATTACTATACGGTTGTCAATATATCTAGCTTGCAATGAGCATTATGGATATACGAATGTATCTTTGAATTATAAAAATATCAGTAAAAATAACAGAAATGATAATATTAACGTATCAGTGGAACTGCCGATGAATATGTTCAACCATATACAAAATTAATAAATGATAGATAAACTGAAGAGTGTGATCTGAAATAATAGTGATTTGAAATTAATATATTTTCAAAAACCACCTATATAACAAAGACTATGGAACGGCTACGATAATAATAAAATAAAAACTTGCTGATCAACAATATTATTTGAATTTTAACTACTTTTTCACCTTCCATAGTTTTCAAAACAATTTTTGAAAAAAAACTCGACGGATATTATTTGAAGTCTACAAATATCGGCCTTGCATTCTTGAAGCCACCAAAATTACACTAACATACTTAACTAAACTGATTAAAAGATATGACCGCGACGGGAAAATTTGTCGCGATTTGTTTGATAGCAAAGTAAAAGCATGCTCATTCGAAATGAACAAAAAGAGACAGTCAGTTATGTAAGAGCAAATAGTTCAGAGATTGAGTGAGTGACGTAACATTATTATTCTTGCACTTATCCTCATCAGTGACAATCACAATAAAATTCTGAAAAGTAGTTCGATTTCTTGGCGATAATTATGACAGAAATAAAGTGTTGCTGTCAATTTGATATAAGTTGATGAACAGGCTATCTATGAAAAATAAACAAACAGTAACGATGGATAGCTATGCATCGAGAGAATTTTTGTAAAGTTCTTTAAGTATTCAATTAAAGTTAAACATTAAAGTAAGTACATAAATTGAATAACTTACTGTATCTAACTTTCGAAAACTTATTATGTACACTTGCGCTATTCCTAAATTTCTAGGGATTACCTGTAAATGTATTAGTATATCATTATTGAACATATTAATTTTTTCACAGGATCGAAAGGGTGTAAAAATATTATAGTTAACTCATTTCTTTCATAAAAAATGAGTGGACCGAAACCGAAGGCACATAAAAATAGTTTTTTCAAACAAAAGTAAGTACTAAGAAAGATAACGAAAAGAATATCGACTAGAATTATTAAATAATGTCTAAATGATACATAACATATGTCCAAAAGTCTCTTGTCATAATTATTTATCATACTATTCCAATAATATTAATACATACTGTGAAGGTCCCATCTATGAATAGTTGAGAAATCAACCTCAACGCCTCCAAGGCCGTATCATGGATGAAAATTAAACATTTTGATGTATCTGTGGCTACAGCTATTCCTCTGTATAAATTGTTTATTCGGTGGTATTCAATCAACATTTCATTTAATTGCTCTAAATTGTTCGGCGTACCCGGAAGTGTTTGATTAAAGACACGCATAATTATTTGCTTGAATTTTGGATAATATCCAATATGGTCATCAGCT